TCAGTATAGCAAGAAAACAAATGACGCAGCAAATACTCTGTAATCACCCTGGACAACCTTAAGATGTCCTTTACTCCATGTCGCAGGGGCAGGGGTTGTGTGTTCAGATCTACATGAGAAGCCTTGAATGCTGTGTAAATCCTCTGGAGGACTACCCCAGGCCACTCCTGTTGTGGGTTTGGGAAGAACAGACATACTGGGCCCAAGGCTGACTGCTGTCCCACACAATTCCCTCCTGAGCCTCAGCAGTGGTGATATAGTTGAAAACAATACTGCTATACTGCATGCTGCGGTGCTCGTCACCACTGTGGAACCACTGGAAACTTCAAGAGCAATCCTTAGCCTCATTCATTAACGTATCTGGAATCATCTCTGTTACAAACTAAGCTAAACTTAAGGTATCTAAAACTTTCACTCAACACAGATTTGTTTTGCTTTACATCAATTTGAAATGCCAGTAATTTATTTTTAAACTATACAATTAATATAAAAAATACTGGTTTAAAAGTTAGTCACAATCTAAAAATCATACCTTTTCACTTTAAATAGTTTTGCAGTCATAGACTTCACATAATGTTGCAGGAAAACATTGTAAAGAATTGAAAAACTGATTTAAAATATCATTTCGAGCCATTGCATTTTCTGAAATTGATCCTTTTTCAAACAACAAAAAAAAAGATTCAAAGGGAGAAAATTTTCTTCAACAATTTTTTTCCAATAAATCTCTAATTAGAATTCAGAAATAGAATTAGAATTTTGTAAATTCCTGATTCTAATTTCTAATTAGAAATTTACTATAGAAAACTGTTTTTATCTCTAAAGCAATAAAAACTGGAGTGAGATTTTTCATATTGATCATAGTTATCAGAAAGAAAGACATTTTTTCTAACTTGAAGTAAGGCACAATAGGCTGAATTCTTCTCAGATTTTCTAGGCAGTTTGCTTAGCCTTGCCATGAGTGTTAACCCATTGTTGCGGTGCAAAGTAAGTAAATCCACAGATTAGGGGCTGAAGCAGTTTCACGAAATAAAACTTTTTCTTCCACCTCAGATTATTGAAAAAAACCAAAAAAAGTAACGTTCCTAAACTTCTGATCTTTATGAGAAGTTTGTCTGTTCAGATGGGAACTGATATAGCGTGTTCTCTTGCTGCAGCTGTGTATTCATAGCCATCAACTGTAAATGTTTCTACTAATATAAATAACATTATTTAAACAATTTGGGAAAAAAACAAAACAAAACAAAACAAAACAAAACAATCTAAACTCAAGTTTAAAACCATTTTCTCTTTGGGACCTGCATGAGAAAGTATCAAGCGTGCACGCTGGATGCAATGGACATTGTGGTTACTCAGAACCTCGTCCTTACCTTCTCCTGAAGTCAGATTTCTGTTGCTCATTTCTCTTGCAGGAGTCATGAAGTGACCAGGTGTATAGATAGTTATTTAGTTGAAAACTTGTTTTTATTAACAGTATGCTGCAATCCTAAACTGGAAAACAGCCTTTGCTATATGAAATAGTACTGTGCTCACCTATGAAAAGCTGATTTTCTGCTCCATGATCAAATTGCCCCATGACTGCAAATCAAAGAAAACTACATGAAGAAAAAGTCTTTAAATCAGTCACTGTCCTGGATCATTAGACTATTACAGAAATGACCAAACTTCTCAATTAATCTCAAAGAGAAATGAAATTGATCACTGGATTGCAAGAATCCAATAATCCAGTTTTGTACTCGACTGAGCTACTGTGTAACATACAATATGATTCACAATGTATGTGAACCCATGCTGAGGTATGAATAAACACAAACAAGCTTTTATTCTAGATTGCCTACCAAATTTTTAATTGGAAGACATTTGAAGTGAGCTACCTCAGCTTAGTAGGGCATTTGCTATTTTGCATTCATGGAAGGTATGACTACACAAAGTAAAAAATACATGAAACAAAATGGATCCATTTCCTGGCAAATCTCTTTTTTATATCACACTTGTTTTTCTCTAAAAATACCCTCAGATTATGAAGTAATTGAAAACTAGACAGCCTCTGAGCCTTCACTTTCTCTTTTCGTCAGTAAATGAGAGCCTGGCTACAACACACTGCGTATGAAAACTGTTTAAATCCTTTTGTGAAACACCTTTCCATATGGATATGCAGTTTACCACAGAGGACGGCCTGTTACAATGTGCAAGTAAATTTAATTTCTTAAGAATTTATAGTATAAACTAGCTATAATTATCATTGAAAAAAAAAAAAAAGTGAATTTAAAAAGAAGTAAGGATGGTGTTCTAATTTAGCAAAGTCTGGATTTTCAGATAAGGAATCGCATTTGGGCTCCATATGACTGTTAACCATGCCAAATATAAAATGCCAGAGATGTCTAATTCATGCTGGAGGCTAGCGATAGTATACAGTCATTATGCCAGTTAGATGGAAGCCATTTGAAGGGAAGATAAAACAGAGAGTGGGATGGTATACGAAGACCATTTTAAGTGTGACAGAAGAGTCTGATCCTGTGTTTTCCTATATTGTGGGAACCGCACAATTTATTTTAAACCTAGTAAACAGAAGCTGCAACTATTTACCTTATGTTTCAAATCCATCTTTGAAAAGGAGTGAGGCCTAATATTCTGATTTTCTCACTGATGAAATTGCAGCTAGAGAAATGGCAAAACATCGCACTGGAAATCTGCTGCAAAGTTTCTAAGGAAATCTTGCTGAGATTGTCCACCCATGAGATGTGTACACAGCAGCACTATATAAATAAGGATCATCTGCTGTACTGGCAACAGGACCTGAAGAGGTGACCATGTCAAAGAAGTACCCTAGGAAGGTCAAGGATCTTTGGATACTGTGTGGTGGCCCAGTCTGTTCTTCACAGACGTTTGCTGGATGAAATGCCTCACGGAACATAGACCCTTTCTCCTTTTAAGACCTATGTGGAGCTATAGAGAAGTAATGGCACTAAAGACACAAAATAAGTCAATGATGCATTAATCATCATACAAGTATCTCCTCATTGCATGGGGTCTTTTCCAAAGGGATTTTGGCTTGCCACTAAGAAATTGTAGTTACAGATGAAAAAAAAAGAGAGGAGAACTATCTTTATATGGATCAAATAACATCATGCCCAAAAGGCACAGGTGCCTCAGAATGGTTTGCCCTGTCTTCCTACACCTTCACCTGAGACAAGGAAAGCTGTCCATTAACACTGCGTACATTTGTTTACTCAAGTGGAGCCAGATCCTTAAAGGAATTGGAGACAATTGTGCAATGAAAATGGCACTTACCCTTGAAGCACTGCCTTACTGCTTCCCGAACACGGGCCACTCTGGAAAAGCAGCTTAAACCAAGTCTGTAGTTTTAGATTGTGATCCATAGATACGTGAAGAAAACCAGAGTCTCATTGCCGCTCAGTTATCTTGAGCAGGTGCAGGAAGGCAGGAGGTACTCGTCAGTCTCTGTCATTGTCCCTGCCAGGGTCTCTCCTGCACATTTCCCTGATGGTTCCAGGAGGTTTTAAGCTTCACTCCTCCCTCCAGCAGTACCCACCTAAAGCCATCACTCACCTATTACAAAGAGGAGCTGCCAGCCCACCAGCAGACTGGAGAGCAAAGAAAATGAAAAGGCAACAAAACTGCAGAAGTGACTAATAATGATTTGGACATGCACAGAAAGGGGATATAAACATTCTGTAAATAATCTGTTTACTGATTTGGGTTGCTTGCTAGACCTAGCTGATCTCATGTAAAACAAACGTTTTACTGGTGATGATACACAACTCTTGCATGAAGTGAAAAGATTAAACTGTTTATGTTCAACTACTGAAAACACTCCAGAAATTATTGTCAATGTCAGAAACCTTATTAAGTTTCAGAAGAGGTATGAAAGCTTCAGCCTAATCACAAGATAGGAGTTCTTCAGGCTTTTGAGAATAACATCTGAAGGGCATTTAGATTGTTTTCTATAAAAGGAAAGGGCAAATTTCCAGTACATATATAATCACTGGTAGCATTTATGTTGTCATCCTCTAAAGTGGTAACAAAGTGCACAAATGGTGGATGATTAGAAAGGTCAGTGAAGTGCTTCATTCAGCTGTAATTGTAGAGTTTTTAAAAATTCTTTTGACATCAGAAAATATCATATGTTTTTTTAACCCAGCTTTTTGCTATGATTAGTTAATTCATGCAAAATCAGTGAAGAAACAGAATGGCAAATTAAAAGCAGTAAAACAGGAATGTCATTTTTCAGTAGCAATAAGTAATCAGCAAAATCAGTTCACCACAAAATTATTGCTACCTGCCAATGCTTAACTCCACATGCACAAGTATTCAGCAAGAATTTTGTTGAAAATACTACCACCTTGCAGATCTGGAAAGTGCTTCCAAAGAAGTGCTGCCCCATGTACACTTTTGCTGATGCTGCAATCAGTATTCTCTCTTTTCCGGCTCCCCCTAGAGCACTTCACAAGAATTTCTTATCTCACATAGAAAGTAGGAATACACTGTTTCATTTAATTAACATATTTTTAAAACTACCATTGCCTTATAAAATCCGGCAATCTTCCTACTAAGGAAATGATGCGACTTCTTTCCCTCTAATAGAATTTGAAAACAAGTTATGTTTTCCATTTCGTCATTTTTCTGCCCGTGTCTCTCAATTTTGAGTAATGAATGGACATATGCTTTCCAATTTTAAAGTAAACTTGCATTAGAGAATAACCACATAGTGAAAGTAAAAAGATAATCTGCCACTGACCAAATAAGAGTTTGCATTTCAATAATATTCTTCAAAATAAGGAATAATTCCAACTGCTTGTTGTTGGTTAAATGCAGTGGAATGCTTCAGTCGAAATGTGAGTGAAAATTTCGATTCAGGGACAAGGAAAAAAACCACATGACATCCTCCATCTCACCAACTGGAAGTCTACATTATTTATAAACTTTGTTTTGCAAAAGTACAAAACTGAAATAGACGGAATACATGTGTTGCGGATGGAGTGATGCACTTCACTCGTAAAAGAGAAGCAACAATATACTTTATTGATATAAAACAGTTAGCAAAATTGAAAGGTAGACACGACAGTGGTTTAACAAGTTTCGATGGCAAGGTACGCTGGATTATTTACTGCATAGAGAACAGGGTCAGACAAAACTGTCAGGGAGACCCTCCCATTGCGTCACGAGGTTCAGACAGGACCCCCTTACTTTCTAAACTCCTTCTCAGAGAGGAGTCTAGGTGTGGCTGCATCCAAGTCTAGTGTCAGACTAGGTCAACAGTTTATGTCTAAAGGATTATACATGTGCTATCAATCCTTTATATCACTTAGCTAAGATTTCAAAGTTTAGCATGCTGTTAGTCACTTACTGAGGATCTATTTCAGCAAGTAATCTCTCAGCCTCGGGGAGTAATCTTGAGGAGTAGCCTTGAGAGGCCTCCCTACTCAAAGGAGGATCCTGGCGTGCAGCCCGCTGTGGTGCAAGGAGAGCTCAACGGGCCCTGAGCTGTCCTCTACTTACAGAGTAAGACGATTGACTTATAGTCATGTTTGCATATCAGGAAGACGTCTGGATCACTGTTCTGGACAGACCTTGGCTACCATGTTGCCATCCGTCCCCAAAGTCCAGTCAAAGCCATCACAATCCCCACCAGTAGCCATGACAAAAGCAGGGAGGGGGCGGCGGGAGAGTACATCATCACAACATGACAGAAAGGACGCAGAGCTGGGGAAATGAAGAGACAGTCCTATGCTCACTCCTCAATGTGGAGAAGAAAAAAACCTGCATTCTGATGACCACAGCTCAAATTTTGTATAGTTTCCATAATTCTAGACCATGAGGGATGCAACTGTTGGTATACTGTAACTCAAAGATGGAAAAAAATGTATCTATAGCAGGCTTAGGTACAGTTTAGAATTTCAGAAAAATGTCTCTGTAGTACAGTCTTGTTCATACATTAGTTACACATTCAGAGCTATATTTGAATGATTTGTCATGTGAGCTTTACTTCATAATAGTCAAAAATTATGTTGAACATAGCAGGTTGTAAATTTGACATGAAAGGGTACTTTCTCTTCAGTGCACCTGCATTTTAGCATTGAGTTTTCCTTAACTGATCCCGAGACAAACGTCCATAGCGTCTTAAATGTTGTGATGCTACTTCATGTTTGCAGTCATTTCAGTTCTTCAGCTAATGCATGTTAGCTTGCCATCAGCAACTGTTAGGGCGGAGTCATAAGCTCTCTGGGAGAGTTAGTATTGGCTTTCTGGTTTTTATCTTCTTTTATTTTAGGACACCTCTTTTCAGACATCTTTATTATGCTGCTCAGGGTTTCTACAGATGTCCAAGATAAGAAAAGGTTTTAAATGTTAGCATCTTGCCTACTACAGGATTTACAAAGAAAGTTGTGAATCCTTGGACTGTGCAATGCCTAGCACGAGGTTGTTTGGGGTTCGCCACCCAGTGTCTAACTCCTTGTTTGTTACATTATCCGTTTACAGTGTATGAGGTCAGGGGCAATACAAAAAGACTGGCAGAAGAAACTGAGCTGTGGATTAATGCAGTGACCACTGAAATCCTTAGCAAAGTTCATACCAGCTTCAGAGGCAACAAGAATAAGCTTTGGGAAATTATTCAATCCCTCTGAAGTCCTTCCACATATAATTCTATGTTTCAGTTGGTGAAAATGTGATTTTTCCTTAGCTCACATAGTAATAATTATTATTCTTCATGAGATGTTTTTCATGTGTTATTCATCAAAAAGGGAAATTGCAAAGGCCTAGGACAAGCAGGTACAGAAAGTTATGTCTGCGTTGATCTTAGTTAACTGAAGTTCAGATCCAGTGTTTCAAAGAAGAAAGGAAAAATAGCTTCCAGTATTTCAGTGTATTCTGTAAAGCAAAACAGACACTAAGTACATACAGCTCAGAATAGCTGACGGTAGTATTCTGCAGTACCTAACTAACACGGGATCTCTTAGAATCACATACCAGAGACATCTTGTGTTCTTATGCAGTGTACACCAGAAAAAAGCAGTTGGACCATAAATAATATATGTTCTAACTGCAGGCAGCATAGTAGCTAGTACCTGTTTGCTCTTTGTGTCACCTGCTTTTTTAATCTCTCTTTTTAAAAAAAAAAAGAAAAGTAAGGAAGATTGGGGGTTGTTCTTGCAGGTTTCTCTGAGTCTTAATTATAACTTCTCCTTTATATAAACAGTTCAGGTATTATGCAAGTCCTCTTGATGCTGCACTTTTATACAATCTCCTTTTCAAAATAAATGGAAAGCTACAAAGCTTCCAGCAGTATTAAATTTTGCATAGACATTCACTTGCTCTAAAGGACATTTTTTCCAGACTTTTGATGATTTATGCTCTCTTCTAAGCTACTGATGTAGTTTCCATAGTAAATGGGCTTTGATTTAGCTCATGGTTATCAATGAAAAAACACCTGAAACACAGCAGTTTCATACACTGTTTATCAGCCATTTGCCAGTGACACAAGAACCTCGGGTGAAAGGAGGGATGAATTTAAGCACATTTATTTTCATGCCTGTGCATTCAAGCTGTTTGCCTTCTAGAAAAATTAGATGTCCTAAAGCTGATAAATGTGACTGATGTTGTTAAAGACGGAGTGACCTCAGACATTTTCCTTCTCATTTGCAGTAGAGGTGACCTCGCCTAGTGGTAGCTGTCATGCAGTTATTTCCTCAGGTGTTTGCTTTCACTGTATTCCTTTGCAGGTTCATGGGTCTGCAATCATCACAAGTTACTCTGAAGTTGTCCACTCTGTATTCTACACATCTTCAATCTACTGAGAATAGATTTAAGTACCTCTGAGGTGTGAATAAAAATGAAATCTGAATCCAAATATTTCACTCTCTTTTTTGCAGCCGGACCCTGCGGGCAGAGATATCTCCATCCGACCAATCTTGGAGCACTGTGAGAACACTCACATGACGATTTGGCTTGGGATTGTCTATGCTTATAAAGGGCTGCTGATGGTAAGCATAGCTTGTTCTGCACAACACTGACTTCAAGCTGCTATTTACTGGTAGGAATAAACTGAATTATGTTTGCTTTCATGATGTCTGGAGTGAGTTAAAACTTCCTTGAATACATCTTTTATAATTAGACCTGTTCTAAAGTTCACTAGGTGATATTATGTGGATATATGCATGTGTAAAGTCAGTAAGATATTAATAGCACTTAGGCTGAATACTATAGATATACTGCAAACAAGGAATTTCAATAGTGAAAAGACAGGCCTATGAGTGAGACAACTTTGTAAGTAAAGAAGCCAGATAGTCTGAATTCCTTTAGGTTCTCCAAAAAGCTGGGACTAAGTTATTCTATATTTTTGCCTCTGAGTTGCCAATGTCTTTCAAAAAGAGTCACAGGACATGCAAGACTAATTTGGAGCCTGAATCAAAATAACCCTTTTGTCACTGAGGTCCTTCTCGACAAAAAGGTTTCGTTATTAAAATAGACCTCAGAAATCAGAAATCCTGAACCTTGATAGTTTAAAAAAAACCCAACACTGTAAAGGTGACTATTAGTGATTAAAAGCTCCTAGGCCTGAAGGTTTTAAAACCATCTGATTTTGACAGCATGGACCATCTGAACACCTATCTTGAGTTGAGCCCCGTCTGGATCCCAAATCTCGATAAACATTAGTTTACACTGCCCAAAGGCTTCAATCTGTTCTGTGTGTTGATAGCATGCCTGTTCATTAGGACACCCGTGAAGGACTGGGTCGGGTGAGCTGCTTCCACTCAGCGTGGTTGGTGCTGCTGCCCTGGGGGGAAGCCGGGGAGATGGAGCTGCTGGTGCCTGGAGTTCTCATCTTCCTGCTTCACAGAGAATGACTGCTCTGCTGGGCTGCTAAGTCCTGCTGCTTTACACGCTGCTTTTTTCAGGCTGAAAGATCTTTGAATATGCAATACGAATTTCAAGAAGAAGGGATAAGAGCTTTTTTTTTTTGATTGTAAACAGTCAGTAGCTTTGTGGTCAGACTGGTCTGCTGGGGAGTGCCTTCAGGCAGAGAAGGCACTAGCACCAGATGTCTCCAGTTCCCAGGTGAGACCTCTGATCCTGGAGCTACTAGACAAAATGAAGCCTTCTCACCTTCCCATTTAAAAAAGAAAAAAAAATCAACTTTAGGTATAGATGCCTATTTTTCAGAGAATGTCCAAGCAGGCTGTGAAATCAGGAGCTAGGACATACTTGATCTCCCCTAAAGAGATCAGAAATTTGGAGAGATTCCGCATCTCAGCATGTCTTACTGGGCAGCTCTGAGTGACTCTGGATTCACATAACATCAGCATGTAGCACAGCATTGAAGGATTTATGTTTTGAAGACAAGGACATCAGAAGTGAGGAGCCGTGACATTGACCAGACTGGGGCCACACTTTGACAGCAAGATATAACTGTCCATTGGCATAAAACATCATGCTTTATGCGAAAACACAGCACACCACTCAAAAATGTACCAGTACATTGTATGTGGAGCTTCTTTGCACGCCAACGAACTAGTCCAGCTCAAAACAGATCGCTGCAAACAATGGGGAGCAAGGGCTCCTTCAGGCTGTCAAGGCCCTGTGCGCATCTGCAGGTCCCGTCTGCAAGTCCCTGCATGGAGCTGGGAGCTTCTGAAATTCCTATTTATACCTTTTTGTTTGGTTCTTCCTAATCTGCATAGTGCCAATTTCTGATTCTGTCTCTTTTTTAAGCCAAATCTTCCAGAGGCACAGCTAAACTGGAAAGCATAGCTTTAGTACCCAATTGCTGACAAGATGTTATTAACTTTATTGCAATATTGACGTTCTATGTGGTAATGGTTTGTATCTGTTAGGTCATTTATTTATCTTCAAGGATGAAGTTCTTAACTTTTTTAACTTTTCATCCCATTTCTAGTATATTACTTTGTTACTGGTTTGACATATCTGTCTATAAATTCCTGCTCTTCACTTAGGAGAGTGTTTTTCGCTTTGCATATTTAATTTTACAAGATTTTTCTTAGATGATTTGTTAAAAAGAACAATGTTTTCCATACTTTTGTTATTTTCCAATCTCCTTGTATAGAAATTTTGAACAATTCATTTTGTGTTCTCCCAGGTAGAATTTGCCAGGGTTCCTTATACAATTGCTTAAGACGTTTTTCTCTGTGGTTCTGTTTGAAAAGTAAACAAGTAAATACGTTTGGTTCACTTAGAGTGATGTAAATGAACAAACCGAATTAAAATTCCTTTAAAAATACCGAAGAATACAATCAAATAGTGGAAGGGTTTTGCAAAAAAAAAAAATATCACTTTCATGATGTTTTCAATTTAAAAATCTGTAATTTGTTATTAAAGAGGGGAAATAGCATTATATATTTTAAAAATACATTCTCAGGTAATTTTCTTTGATGTTTCTTTCAAGTTTGAGTTGTGCTGAACAGTAACCGAACTGCATTGGTTCTCACTAGTCCTTTGCCCTAGATGTATGTTGGACTGTTTTCTACAAGATATATGACTCGGTTTGTTTAAGTTTGCAAATGCCGTTTGGCATTAGTGACTATACTTATTTCAGGTACACAGTGTTTCGTAACCACCAGTGAAATATACACTTTTTGTTACTCCAGTGCCCTTTTATCTCACAAATCGCTACATATGAAAAAGGAAGATAGTCTTCCGAATCACTTAAATAATTGCTATGGTGAGTTAGATGAGGACAACAGGATTGGTGCATTTTATCTCATCACCAAAGATGTTTCTGTACGCCACGCAGACTTTGCCTGGAGAACAAAAACCAGAATCTCTCATGTTACTATATCATTTTATACAGATTTATCTAATACAAAATTCTGTGGTTTATAATAACAAAATGCTTATCTAATTTAACATATTTTATACTAAAGAGCTAGTATTGCTAATTACAGTACAATGTAATATTTAAGGTGAAATGGCTTAATGATTTACTCAATCCAAAATTATTTACAGTGACTTCTTGTCTCAAAATGAGAATCCAAAAAATTGGGTTAACTTAAAAAAGTACTTTTCTTTTTTGACTTGAAGATATAAAGCAATGCTGTACGTTCTGGTGACTTAAATGAATGGCTACACTGAATAAACCACTTGAGGTAAGGCAGAGTACAGAAGAGCAGGAAAGAGCAGGCAAGGCAAGGCAAGGCAAAATAAGGGAAGGCATTACCGGCCAGGATGCACAGGTTCCTTCTGTATTAAAGTAAGCAAACACTGAAAGTCAGAGTCACAATTCTTCAATTACCTTTGAAAGGATGTGAGGAAATGCTTACTAACTACGTGAACATTTCTCAGTTATTGAATTCACATTCCTCAGGACTGGTTACCAGAGAATAAGAGGAAGATGAGCATCCTAAATCTTGCCTTTGTCATTGTATTAGTCATCTTAGTGACCCTAGTCAAGTCCCACCATACATATGAGACTCAGGTTTTTTCCCATCTCGGGTTCAGCTCCTAAAAGGCTACATACAAGTTCAACGTCTGTCTGTGTGTACATGGTGACCATCAGTTGCAGTATGTCTAGCTTTTGATTTCTGATGATGTAAACATGGTTGAAAAGTACCTTTATTTTCTATCTTCCAAAGGATGATAGAAATCACACTATCTTAAACTTGCCAGTAGTGTATTATTAGTGACTGCACTAACATCTTTTTGAGGAGTATGAATTATTTTTCTGATCTCAGCCAGAACAATACCAGATTAAGGATGGATTGGACTCCACAAGTGTGCTTTGCCTATTAACCACACACACTAGACTTGTCTACGGTTTAATTCCCCTCTTCCTAATAGTGCGTTTAACTGTAGACTCAAGGTGTTTCTTGGAAGTTTCATTGTTTTGCTGATGTGTTATTACAGCTACATATTATTCAGCTACTGAGAAACAGTATGGCTTGGCTTTCAAGGCCAAGGTATATTTTCAGTTTGGTGGTTGCTCCTCTTATTCTACCCTGCAAGTGTTAATTGAGGGATTTTTATTTGGTAACTAATATTACTGAACACTTCTGATACAGTTTTTAACATATGGTCCTTAGCTAACCTTGCTATGGATGAAAACATCAGTATTTCATGGTGGAGACAGGAAAAAATGATGAAGTTTCATCATGAGTCTTGATTGCTAAGAATAAGAAATGTAATTCCTTCTGATGATTCATATTCCAAAGTTCTGTTTTGGTCACTAGAGTTGACATTCTGCACAACACAACTCTGTAATTGATTTATGAAGCCAGATAAAGTATTGATTCAACTAAAATATATCTTTAGGATAATATTAAATCTTAATTTCAAGTCTGAAAGAATCCCTCTGCTTCCTGAAGCTCTCTAGTCACTAAGTTTGTCTAGCTCTGACTTCTAAACCTTGAACCTTGATGGGTCTTGCTTATATGTTATACCTCTTCCTCTAAAGTGACATGATGCCTTTGTTTCTAGACAAACTACCCTGAGTTTGGCCAAATTTCTTTGACTTTTCTAAAAATCTTTCTGCCTTATGAAAATGGCATCTATTAATTGTTTACCATTCTCCACCTTTGCTTCTTCTGCATCATTTTCAGTCTCCTTCAAGTCAATGTACATTATTGTACAATGTACAATAGGACAGCATTAGGTTAGGAATTTTTTGAAATATATCCTTTTTTTTTCAGTAGCTTCCTATTAATAGGAAGATCTATCACCTGATTTCAATCAGTTTAAATTTGTTGTATTGATTTTGTAACATACTATTTTTAAATAACAATACCATGCACTATTAAGACAAGCACTACTGAGAAATCCAAGTAAGCTGCACAAATGTGATTATCTTTATTCAGTCTTGCAATCTCATTGAAAAAAAATAATAGCGTGTTCAATCATATTGCTATCTTCTTTTTTTGTCATTTATTGCCTGAGTTCATGTATCAGCCGTTTCATTAATTTGCTTGGGATAGAAATTACTGTAATGGGCCTGTAATCACTGAAGATGTTCCACTTTCTCGTTTCTCATATG